CCCCCAATATACATCAGCAGCTAGCAGCAGCAGCTCAGAACACTGGTCTCGCATGCTGAGGCTTGAGCAATAATTAATTTCCTCCCCTCTCTCTCTCTTACTAAGCATTTATTTCATGCATGCAAATACCCTCTGACACGTGCACACCTCTTTGCTCAAGCTTCACACAGCAAAAGATGAAGGTTTTTGCACAGTCATGTGCAAAAACAGTATCACCTTTAGTTGTATGGGCAGTGATTATAAAAAGGTAACTTTCTAAATATGGACGAGCTATGAGGCACACAAGAGTCATGCCAAAATAAAACTCTTCGCCCTAAATGCCGCGGCACCCCTCTTATCCTGCTCTGCATGGCTGCCATCAAAACAGCAGCGCGATGCTCTAATTGGGGAGTAATGCAGGTTTGAACGATGCAGGAGGGAGAGCTCGCTGTTGCTGCAGCTCTACAGATACACGATTTCAGCTTGCTAATCGGTGCAATAATACTGATACTTTTTAATAAGAAAAGAAGTTTAATTATTTTGCCTTTATGACAAATAAACTGATTCCTCTGCGCAGAGGATTAAAAACACACCAATGAGCTTCACTGCTGCACCTGATGACGTGTTCCTACATTAGCATGAGCGTACACACGCTCACACTGTGGGTTTATTCTGAGTCAATCCCACGTCCTGCTGCTGTGAACACTTACAAGAGCACCAAATGTGCTGCAAACCTTAACAGATGCTCAATTTACTCCTGTTTGAGTAATTTATGGCTGAAGTAATTTATTCTCTTTGCTGAACAAAACCTATATGTGTCTTATTGTGTTTATTTTTACAGCATACATTAGGTATGAAAGTTGAAAAACTGAATGCTTAGTGCTAACTGTGAGAAGAAATTACGTTCAACCTTAGTTGTTACAGCTAAAAGAAAGCAGAGCAAAATCTAAAATCTGAATGTAGAAAAATAATCACAAAAAGTAAAAAAAGGGCAGCTTAAAGGTTAAAGTAGCACCACTCCAGTTAGAAGCAAAATGCTAAACAATAGTAGCTAGAATATAAAGCAAGCAAAATATAAGCTAAAGTAGCAAAATGTTAGCTTAACATAGCAAAACACAAGCTACAATTAGGAAAAACGTAGCTAAAGGAGGAAAAGTCACACCACTTAAAAGCTGCAAAACACTAGCTAAAAGCAACTAAAGGCTAGCTGAATGGAGCAAAATGCTACCTAAAAAGCTAATTTTAGAAAAATGCTAGCTAAAATATAAAAGTAGTAGCTAACACACAGTTAAAATGAGCAAAAATGCTAACTAAAACTAGCAAAACTGTACTAAAAGTAAAAGAGCTAAAAGGCTTGGATAAAAAGGAAAAACACTAGCTAAAACCAGCTAATTACTATCTAAAAGTTATAAAAGGAAAGCTACAAAACAGAACAATTTTATTAAAGTAGACTGAATGTTTATGAGGGAACTGAATGATATTTTTTCTAAAAATGTAATTAATGCCCTGCATGAGATAACTATTTTGATATTTGAATCTTAAAAAAGTACATGTTCAAAAAGACAACGAGTAATGTGAAACAGGATCACTACAGTGTGAACGTCGCCTCTGTAATTATAACTGTTGTGCTGCGTGTGGAGATGGACCCTAACACCTCAGATTCTCCTGCCAGGACAAGTTCAAATATTTGCTGTGAAAAGAGCAGCTGTCCAGCTAACAGCAGCTCAACATGACTAACTTTACACTGAATGTCACTGAATGCCTCAGCAACAAAGACATTAGCTTTAATTTTTAAAAAATCAAAGCCCTGAAGTTTAATTATGCATCACATCTGAAGAGGTCGCCGCCTCTGTTTTGAGTGAGACAGAGTTTCTCATCAAAAGTGCTTCATGCTAACATGGCTACTATCTTTGCCCAAATATAATTTACTGCAGTCTCTAAATTATACTAAGCGTTTAAAGCTTTTGTTTCATTAAATGTTTACATGTAAAGCAGCTTTCTTGTTGCAGTTGTATTTAAGGTTATAATAATTGTTATGGAGACATTTCTTTTAGACTTTCAGCACTTTATGCAGAAAGTGGCTGAAATGTTTTACTGAAATGCTGCATTATTTCCTGGGAAAACATAAAGATTTGTTCAGGTCTTAGTTCAAACTTGTTGCTGGACTGTGTGCCCTGAGGATTCTTCTTTAAAGTCATTCAGTGAGTGAAGCAACAGACATCAGAACCTCAAATGTTTCCACTCAACGTGTCTGCACTTTGGCCATAACGTGTTACACTTACTGAATAAGGATGAAGTTTCTCTGAGTGTTCTGCCTCTCTCCGCTGCAGACGGATACACCACCGACGACATCGAGTTCTACTGGCGGGGCGGAGACGGCGCCGTGTCCGGGGTCGACAGAATAGAGCTCCCACAGTTCTCCATCGTCGACTACAAGCTCATCTCCAAGAACGTCGTCTTCTCAACAGGTACAGGACACGAACGTCAGCTTCTTCTTCCTTTAAACGTTACAGTTTCAGGGTTTTGTCTGTTTGATGTGAAATCCACAAAAACTCAAAACCTAGCATGTTTTGAAGGAATGCACGTTGCCTACATGCTTTTAGGATGTGTATATATGACAGATATATGGCCTTTTTTAAAAAATTAATTTACCCCAATCAACCTATTAGTGTTCAGGTTATGTGATGGGGATGATTCTCACCTACAGTATTACCAAAACTATTCTTAGCTCAGTTTGTATAAAATGGAAAAATCTACTTTCATACAGGCCTGGGTTTAATTATATGCTTTTATTGGGCCGACTTCAAAAGTTAATCAGCTGTAGATGTACATCCAATGATTACTTCCTGTGATTTCTACAATATTTTGCTAACAAACAGTGGTTGTTTCAGCATTTAATGCCAAAGTTTAAGCAAAGGTTTGTTACACATCATACTGGTCCAAACTTTAGCTGACTATCTCCTAAAGTGACGATGTTTCAGCCATTTTTGTGTTTGCTTAGTTACACAGTGGCAGCCATCTTGAAGGGGACCGACTCCAAAAGTTTCCCAGCGTTTCACTGGAATCTGTCTTGCGTTTATAGAGATTATTTTACTAACACAATATTCACATTATAGCCTTTTGGTGACTGGTAGTAATAAAAACTGCTCCCTATCTATGTGAGGCTCTGTAGGGTCATAAGGAACATCAGCTCAGGTTTTCCCTCTCTGCCTCCTGCAGGTTCCTACCCCCGCCTGTCCCTCAGCTTCAAACTGAAGAGGAACATCGGTTACTTCATCTTGCAGACATACATGCCTTCCATCCTGATTACCATCCTCTCCTGGGTCTCCTTCTGGATCAACTATGATGCATCGGCTGCCAGAGTGGCCCTGGGTAGGACCCCCCCCCCCCCCCCGTGCTCAGCAGTGACCCAAAGCCGAATGATAACGAACCATGAAAGGAGACGTTTAACATTTTACACTTGCAGCATCTACGCTGTATTAATAAGCCTGATGTGTCGACTCGTTAGTTTTTCCAGCTTTTACTGTTTTTTTTCCTCCTTTTTTTGGCTCTAAGCTCGTGAATGATAGGCTGCCTGGCTGAATGTCTGTTGTTCGGAGATGACTATATGCGTGACTCATGCAGAGCTTCTCGCTCTGCAGCCTGACCTTGAAGCGCGCTGTCTTTCTCTCTGCTCGTCTGTCTGTCGGAGCCCCGCGCTCGCACACACGCCACCCCAGCACCCAAAAATACCAGCTCATCTGCCAAATCACAGCCGAGTTACAGCTGAACGGCGGGTTGCTGAAATCAAACCTCAGTGTTTTTCTACTCTAAACTCCAGCCTGCCCGAGCAGGTTGGAGCCCGGAGCGAAGGGCGAGTTTAAGATGCGCCTACGTGCTCACAGCATCCAGAGAGCGTGCAGCCAATGAGAGCTGCTGCTGCTGCTGCTGCTGGGTTATTTATAATGTGTGTGAATCTGACCACATGCAGATTGTGCAGGCAGATGAGTAATGTATCAAACACAATGTGTGTGTGTCATGAAGCTAGTTGAATTATGTTGTGACTACACACAGGTGTTTCCAGTAACAATGTGGTGCTTTTTTTATTTAGTAACAGCATGTTCTGTATCAGTCCAGAGACGAGGATATAAACGGTCTGACCTAACTAGTTTTATGAAACACAAACCAAAGCCGTCTCTGGAGGTTTTGATGGATGGATTTATCCATGCGGCGTCATATTCTTTCAGGCTCGTTTGTTTAAAGTAATTAAATAACGTATTCATGTTAACGTTCACTTAGTCCCATACTTGAAAGACTGGCACCTGAGCTTGGTTATTTTGAATTTGCAGTGAAACAAGACAGGCTTTGTGATTTCCACACATCACTGAATAGTTGAACTAAAATACACAAATACACTCGAGGCAGAGCTCATCTTTATGGAGGTGATGTGCTTTAAAAAAAGAGAAAGGTGTGTTGAATTTGAGCAAAACAATGCTGAGATATCTGTAACATTATCTGTTTGTAAGTCACAATTTACAGCTGAAATTGTAGAAAAATGAACTAAACAACCAAATATTTCCATGACTTATTCTGAGAATAATTTAGTCTAAATTTCTTGACATGCTTTAATGCTTCGCCAACTGTTTTTTTCCTGCTAAACCACAGCTTCTTTGTCATGGTAAAGGACTATTTAAAGGGGGTATTGAGCAGAATCAACTTTTTTGAGCTGCATCATGTTATAATGTCATTCCTTCATCAAACACATACCCAGGGTTGCTTTGACTCATTCCTGCATGTTTGAGAAATCCTTGAATCTCCTGTGGTAGCCATGTGGAGCTGCCTAAACACTTGCTGGTACAAAGCTCCGCCTGTTTACACAAAGCTCCTCCCTAGAGCTCAGTCTGCAGCTGAGTTCCTGCCCTACAGAGCACCCCACCCCCGAAATATTATTATGAAGACAGTGCTGAAGTGGGAGTGTCCGAAATAAATGGAGGTTCTTTAAAAGACAGAGGTCAATTTCAAGGTGTTTAGATAACGTAAACAACTGAAGGTAACAGTTACATGACTGTGGTTGTGAATTGAACTATGGGCTTGGAAAATACACAATACTCCCAAAAGTTAACAAAAACAGCTAACAGCATAATTGTTTTCTTTTAGAGGTTTAGCTTTTTCACTAACAAAATGTTAGCAGACCAAATAGCTTTCGTTAAATTAGAATATGCCTACACTAGGTCTGCTAACAGCTAACTAACAAACTAACATTAACAGGTTTGTATCATATGGAGCCCGCGAGGGGACATGGGGGGATTTTTTTTCTTTTGCGTTCCCACACAATACTATTGCGTTACCTTGCAATACTTTTGCGTTACCTCGCAAAATTGTTTTGCATTCCCACGCAAAAGTTTGTTTTGTGTATGAACTGAATTAAATCAGACTTTTATTTTGAAATATCCGGTTAACAAAACAGGATGTGTCGCCACAAGTTCGTGAAGTTGACATTGATGTTGCGTGGCTGCACTGTGTTAAAATATCAGCATGTGACATACTTCCATGCCTGGCTGTGTGATATATTCATTCTGAAGCTGAATTAAAGCAGTAGGCTAACTCACTAAGGGTGAAAATGTGAATGTGTTAATAAACCAGTAGGCACAACAGTGATAAATGACTTTTGTGAGGGAACGCAAAAGAAAAAAAAACTCTCATGTCCCCTCGTGGGCTCTGTAGGATCAGTCCCACCAGTCTTCAACTGGAAGGAGACATGAGACCTGACTTGACAGACTTGAGTGACAGCCATTTTAACAAATTGCGATTAGGTGCTAGTGTTAGTTTCTGTTAATTTCTTTTCATGTTTAGAGTTAGAGAAGCTATATTTTTAGTTAAGGAATAAAGAGCTAGCAAAGCTAACTTTTTGGTTAGCTGTGCCCAACACTGCTGAGGACCAAAACTGTTACAAAACCTGATTCTCAAATCTAATGTAACGTTCATCTGTCAGTGTCTCAGCACAAGAAGAAAGAAAGTTTAAAAGCGTATTAAACTCTTTCTAAAACTGTGACTCCTCTGGCCTGCAGGGATCACCACGGTGCTGACCATGACCACCATCAACACCCACTTGCGAGAGACGCTCCCTAAGATCCCCTACGTGAAGGCCATCGACATGTACCTGATGGGCTGCTTCGTCTTCGTCTTCCTGGCCCTGCTGGAGTACGCCTTCGTCAACTACATCTTCTTCGGCCAGGGCCCCCAGAGACAGAAGAAGGCGGCCGAGAAGGCGGCCACGGCCAACAACGAGAAGCTGAGACCCGACCCGAACAAGGTAGGCGCGATCAGACGACCTCCTCTGACGCTCTCTGTGCTGGTCTGTCCATATAAATGTTTGTTTCTGTGGGAGCGAATGACCTTTTTCTCCTCTCAAGGCCAGTGGGATTCTGTGATCAGTCGATGTCCTTCACCTGCGCTCTTTATGCCAGCTCTCCCGTATTTCAGAGCGTACGTCTACAACTTCGGAGTGAATGCAGACGCAATCACTGGTTGTTAAATACTTTGTCTCCACATTTCTGTGTCTCCCAAAGGGCTAAAAAAAAAACAGACTGTGAATCCAGAGCCTTCTCTTTAAGTTTCATTCAGCACACTTTAGAAACCACAGCGTTGAGACAAATTCAACAGATAAAGCACTCTTTCCTTCTGAGTGTTGGCAAGCGACGATTTCCCCCTAAGTAACAGTGCTGATTTTGTATGCTTGCAGTGGCTGGTGGGAAATGTAGTTCAAAGAGATGATGCTCTGTATGCCAGAATGAAACAGAGGGAAATTGACGCGTATGACTCGATGTGGGATCCCATCTTTGTGGACGATGCCGCATTAGGACTAGGCGATCAAAGAAATAAGGTACTGGAGGTTCTGCTAGTTAAAAAAAGCTATCATCAATCTGAATCAGTCCAGATCAGAGGAAAAATGTGCATTTATTTAATTTGTTTTTTTGTTTTTAATAGATTTTTAAGGCAACCTTGATCATCACTTTCCACCATTGTGTTTTCCCTCCTCTCTCTTGGTTTGCTCTTCATGCATTTTCCTGACAAACATGGCTTATTAGTTTCATTTCTACAGGCACTGATTTAATCCTAATTCTAGCTGTTCATCTGAACTGACAACAGCCGTAGATGATCGTAGGAAAATTTCATTGTGATACAAATTTATTTTTAAAAATACTGTGTAATTTCTGAAACATTTGATATTAAGTGATGCAAATGGAAGTAAAAAAAAGAAAAAGAAAGCACGAACTATAACAACATATCAGGGATGGGATTGGGATTAGAAAGATGCTCTTCCTCAGAAGTCAGGCTATGGATGAAGAAATGTTCCCAACAACGCCTCTCCTGACTTGCCCCCGAACCTTTTAGCCCACTCCTCCATCTCTACAGAGTCCTTGCTATTTCTCTCAACCTCCTCCTGTCACTTTTGCTTTATGTATATTTATTTATTTATTTATTTATTTATTTATTTATTTATTTATTTATTTATTTATTTATTTATTTTTGTTTGCTTTTGATTTAGTTTGTCTTGTGGATTGGCAGAATTTTAACCAGTTTGGTTGAAATTCTGAGATGACAATGAAGGTTTCTCCATGAGTTTGTTGGAGCGCACTGTGCTGCTCCCCTTGAAATGTTATTTTATAATTTTCCTGCTTGTGTTATCACTCAGACAATGATGGACAGATTATTAAAGGGGTAGTTCATATGTTTTGAAGTGGTGCTCTGTGGAAAGGTTATGAACAATTACTATGTTATCTGTTGTAGATAGCTCTTTGAAAGTCCTCAGTTGGAAATGAACTGGGAGTATAACTGTCAAAGAGTATAATTCTGACCAGTCTGATAAGCTAACACTAGCCGGAGTGGGACCAAGTGGATTGCTGCTGCTTTAAAACTAAATAGATTTTAGCCCCAGGCCTTAGGCTTTACAATGAACTACATACAATGCTGGGCACAGCTAACCAAAAAAGTTAGCTTCTCTAATTCATAATTCACTTACAAAATATATAAATTTGCTAACCCTAAACATTGTGGAAGCCAAAGCTAACAGCTAATTGCTAACTGTTAAAGACAACTGTCTCTCAAGCTGTGTTTCCATCAACGTTTTTTCATGCACATTTTGAAGTACCACATCAGAAAAGGTGAATGGAAACGGCATGATTCAAACAAACTTCCTCTAATTCGCGAAAAAGTTGATATGCTCACTTGAGGTGTTTTTTTTTTCTTCAAAAGAGTTAATGCGCAAAAGGAGAGTTGGAAACACATTTGCTGAATAAGTTCTAACGTAGCGAACATTTACCTCACATGTTTGATCATCTGCTCTCGCTGTCTGAACGGTACCGGTACCAGAGTGGCAGCAGCTGCGACTGCAGCAGGACCCTCCTCCCGCTGTCGGCGTATTCTCAATTATTCCTGTAGCGTGAAGAGAATTGCATTTCTTTCTCTACGTCTCCAGACAGCATTAACGTCACCAGAACTAGTTGATATGATGGAATAATTACAACTTTCCTGATAGTAGCAACACGTTCCCAATAACTTCTCTCTATTTTCTTGAGATGCATATCCCTGCAAGTTTGCAACTTTTACTTCCTGTTCACTACACACATGCATCTGACGTAATTAATTCGCTTCAAGCCAGTTGATGGAAACACGTCTGGTTCGCATTTCTTCGTTTTTTTCCTTTTTGCCAAATTTTAAAAATTTGCTCAAAATTCAGATTAAAATTGGATGAAAACACGGGTTCAGTTCAGTCTGAATCACTGAAGACTGGTGGGACTAACAAGCCTGTTGATGTTAGCTTGTTAGTTAGCTGTTAGCGGACTTAAAGTTGTCAAAACCAAATTTACCAGAAGCTAATTGGTCCACTAAAGGTTTTACAGAATTACTGAAAAAGCTAATCTGCTGAACAAAAAGATCGTTCTGCTATTAGCTGTTAGCTGATTAGTGGACAAATTCCCAACAATGACTATATGTTTATCTACAAGTGCAGAGAGCAGAAGGTTTGCCGTAACACCGCTGATGTAGGAGAAATTATATTATTTATATAATATGAAACTCGTGTTTGTTTAAAGGTTTGTAAAATAACAATTCTTGAACTTCTGTGATGTTTTTCATTCTGAAGTTGATTTAATACACCAACAGTCCACTTTGATCTTGAACCCAGCTCTGACTAGCCATAGCCTCATCAAACTGGTCAGAATTAAACATTGTTTCTCCAAACTGAGGTTGTTCAGGAAGTTATCTAAAGCAGGTAAGATATTAACCGTTCATACCTTTCCCACAGAGACCCACTTCAGCAGATCTGAACTACCCTTTTAAATAATTGATTCAGTGCTTTAAAAATCTTCACTGTAAGTAACACAGTTTTGACTCATTTGCATTCCCCATTTTAGCACCTCATCTGTATTTTTACACACTGAGCTGCTTAGTTATCATTTCCTGATTCAGGTCACTTTGTAAGAATTAGTTGATCAGTTCTTTCGCAGTAACTTCTCACGGCTCCGCTTGTTTTTGTTTGTATTTCTTTTATTTTTTGCACCTTCACACAGATGACCCCGGACGACAACATCCTCTTCAGCACCATGGAGATGAAGAACGAGATGGGCGGCGCCGGGGATCTGTCCCGGGGCCTGGGAGCGCCGGGAGATCCCCGCAACACCATGCTGGCCTACGACAGCACGACGCTGCAGTACCGCAGGGCGGCCATGGCCCGGCAGAACTACGGCCACAGCGCCTTGGAGCGCCACGCCCAGAAGAAGTCCCGCCTACGAAGACGGGCCTCGCAGCTCAAGGTGAACATCCCAGACCTGTCCGACGTGAACTCTATCGACAAGTGGTCCAGAATGATCTTCCCCACTGTCTTCTCCTTCTTCAACGTGGTCTACTGGCTCTACTACGTCCATTAAAACCCGGCGGCGTCTGGAGGCCGGCTTGTGGTCGGCACGTGACGAAGAAGAAGGGTGGTGGGGGCGGGGTTTGGGAGGAAGATGCGAGAGCGAGAGAAATGCGTGCTGACTTTTTTAAAGCTGGTTTGTTTTAAAAGGAACACAAGGAGACTTCAAAAACTTTTCGATGGACTGCAGCGGCACCCACTTCAGTCAGCTGTGGCTCTTTCAGGATTTGGGAAACACCTTCAAACAGCAGATGGACGAGCACTCAGAATAAAAAAAATCGAAATAAAAACAAAACAGACGAGTGAGCTTTGAAGAGACAGAAACGGTGCCTGTATCAGAACTTCAAAATATATCACTAATATTTGTCATTCGTAGCTTAATCTCTGTGGATCAAATATTTATGCTTGTGTTTGCATATACTTTGAGGATTTCTTTTTGTTTTAGTATCTATTTACTTCGTAGCCGAGCCGTCTGCATCCGGGAAAGCTTTATAAAAAAAATTTTAAAGGAGTCATACTTGATAGTCTATTTTCCTATAATTACTGTATATCAGAAACTTTCTTTAAAAGCATGCTTACGTTGGATTTCATTTGCATTTCAGTCACAACAAAGACAAAGCATTTTTAGTTGTATTAGTTTCTTCTGTTAGTTGAAGTTTGCAGCTTTTTTTTGGCGTGAATCAGCCAACCTGGGCTGGATGGTGACAGGTGGACAGCAGGGGCCGCTCTCCAGTCTGAGCACCCACATAGAGCTTTAATTACTCATTTTCCGAATGGGTCTGAATTATATCCGAGGAGTGAGCCGAGCTGTGTGGTGGTGGATGCGCCGCTTTTGCTGGGCTGAAAGTTCATTTTTGGTGTATTTTAAATTATTTATTTATTTATTTATTTTGGGTTCCATTTGACTTTTCCGCCATCGTGCAAGAGGCTGGCTTTAACGCAAAGCAAAGCGAGCGCAAAGAACTTTTCTGACGGGTTTTCATTGCAAAAAAAACGAAGCTGCTGCGTAAACATGGCAATCCACAATCATCATTATCCGTAGAGTTGAATGATAGAAGTAAGATGCATTTTATTGTGATTAGGTTTCCGTTAATTAAAAAAAATGTAGATAAACACAAATCATGTTTGAAGAAAAAAAGCGATGATTCATTTTTATAAACCAGTGCTCACATTATTGTATAAATACTACAGATTTATTCTATTTAAATTGCTTCTTTGTTGTTGTTTTTGCAGTTAAATTGCAGCTCAGATGTTCCATTCACTCAAAAATAGATAGAAACTACCTAACTTAGAAGAAAATAAAACATAAATCACAACATTGCTGACTGTACTTTTGAGACGTTTTCTTTCTGTCTAAATTTTCTTTTCTTTTTTCTTTTTAATGGACTCTGAAAGAGTCTACTTGCTGAAACTGAAGCACTTCCAGAAACCAGAGACTTTTGGGTCAATATTTCAAGAAATGACATAACAAGGGCCCCCTCCTTCACACACACACACCCCTACACACACCCTCACACACGCACGCACACACTATCCAGGCAAATATTGAAGTCAGGCATATTTTGTACAAAGTTTCTGTAAATTCTAATTGTAATATTTCATAATGACTGTAAATATCTTGTGTAATATCTGTCATCAAATACGAAGATGTATCTAAATTCAATTAAAACTCGATTCAGTCTATCACTTCAACAACGGAGTTCATGGGTGGCCGTTTTCCTGTGTGAGTGTGGGGCCGATGGCCGACCTTTGGCCTTTTGAGAGTGAATGAGCGCGCGAACAAGTGATGTCGAGGCGGGGACGGGTGGAAATAAAGAAATAAAAGTAAAAATGCAAGGCTGGGCGGAGATGTGAGCACTGCAGCTGGGTGCTGCTGGCTGCATAATGGATGGAGAGGCAGAGGAGCTGAAGCGAGAGGCTGCAGTGGTCTGGGCTCGGCCTCTTGGCCCCTCGGGGGGGGGGGGGGGGGGGGGGGGGGGGGGGCAAAAAGCGCCTGCCGCAGAAAAAAAGGAAGAGAGCGAGCAAAAGAATATATATATATATACATATAAAGGGAATCGTCCATTCACGCCTCGACCTCTAACTGCGTCCTCCCTTCACTCTGCAAACTGTCTGCGCCTCCTGACCTGAAAACATAAAAGGAGGATGGTGAATATTTAATGATGCAAACCACGGAATATTTAAAATTTCAAAAGGAACTTTGTTCTAGCAGGAAATAATGTGCAGCCAATATTTAGCTTTGAATGTAAGACTGGGCAGATGTAACTTGTACAATTTTTTATCACTATAAAGGAGGAGCAACCATGTAGTGGCCTCTGACTGTGTGTTTTCTTTGTTTGTTTGTCAGCAAAATAGCACATGAACCACTGGGCTGAATTCAATGAAACTATCAAAAAGTATTGTTTTGCATCCATAACTGGTCGCCTTTTGGAGTCAAACCAATTCAAGGTAGCTGAAGATGTGTCAGTCAACACAAAAATTGCGCTGACTCGGTCCTTTTTACACATACTGAGCTAAAACTGGGTGTGGTTGAAGCTGAGAGTCATCCCCATCACATAAAGAGTTGCATGAGTTTGTGTGTAGAGAGTGTGTTATGTTTAAAATTTGACCAAAACTTCCATCTCTGTTAATTTTCAACATACAAAGGCAATCTTTGTTTAAAGTTTTTGTCACAAAAAATCTACCAATTAAAGACCTTTATGTAACTGAATTCAGAGTTTATCATATGGCTTAAAACAGTGGTTTCCTCTCTGGGGTTTATGTTGAGAATGACTCTCAGTTATAGCCAACCACACAACGTTTTAGCTCAGTGTCAGTAAAATAGAGAGCTGTAGCCATTTGTTGGCTCAGCTGTAGTCTCCATCTTGAATCGGGTTGACACTAAAAGTTAAAAAGCTGCAGAAGTACATCCAATGATTACTTTCTGGGAGTTCAAATAAAATCTGTTGGGTGGTTTATGAGATATTTTACACATAGACGGCTACACAAACATACAAAACAGCTCTATGACTGCTTATCTTTTATAGTGATGGGGGACAAAAAGAAAAGATAGAGGACAGACCAGCTGAGACATACCGCTCTTGTATCTGTGTGTGGATGTAGAGGTGTGTGTGTCTCCTAGGAGTGAAATATCTAAGTGCAAACGTACCTATGAAGGCAATTTGATGTTAAAACTGATGTGACGTGACACGTAACCTTGTTCTTACATGCACTGGTTAAAATGCTCTCTGCACTGCTACATAACAGATGAATTACCTCACAACACCAGACAGATGGTTCGTGCTAAATTGGCTTTTTTTCTACCCCCCCCCCCCCCCCTTCAGAGGCGGCATTAGTGTTGACATGTAGGAAGGCAAGGGGGAGGCAGATGCTTCCTGCTTTGTGGTGTTTCCATGTCACTGGCGTAATTAGGAACGCACAGACCTCTGCTCAGCGGAGACGTGTTTGTATGTGTGTGTTAAAGTTTTAAGAGTGGATTTAGTTGGTGTGTGTGTGTGTGTGTGTGTGTCGGTGGACTCACAGCTGAGCCCCTGCGAAGTTGGCGCGCCAACCAAGCCAAGCCCAATCAGTGCTGACTGGGTGAGAGTCTGACAGAGTCACGTCACGCCACTCCCGTTACACATATGTGATGGAAAAACAGGCTAAGCTGGCCCGGGATGGAGGAACATGAGAGGCCCTTTAGGTCACAATTCAAACGGCCTCTCGTAGTGGAACCCTGTTGTGTCATGGGTACACACAGACAAAACTGGGTTTTACTCATTTTAAACAATGATCAGTAAATGAAGTGGAAGATTAGGAAGAACATATGAACAAGTTTCATGTGTATGTTCTACAGTGTACATGCTGTTTGACATTATTTATTTATTTGACGTTTGTTTGGTTGGTTGGTTTTTTAGAAGCGTCTGCTTCAATCAGGAATTTGAAAAAAGAAAAAAAGTTTGGCAGCCGGTTTTGGAAAAGACAACATATGTTAACATGAGGAAGTGGAAAGCATCCTACATGCGTGCCATCTGTGCAAAAAAACTGTCCATCTCACAGTTCTGCACACACGAACTTTAAACATTTTCTCTAGCCTAGTTTGCATAATAAAGGTGGTCAAATTAAAATTCCCTAATAGCTTGATTGCCTTTACAAACAATGCTAACATAGGAGCTATCACATGACTTCTGACGTTTTTGCAGAACGTAAACACGCAAGCAGAAGATTTTTAGGAGTGCACAACTTTTTCTGATCGATCATTAAAAAGTCTGACCTGCTAATTCTGATTTTTTGCATAACTGACACTGTCAGGTATTATAAGGTCACAACACACCTTCAATGTTCCAATTTTATTTCATTAAAAACACTGAAACAATACAAACTTGTTTTAACTGGACATTAGAAAGTACTCACAGCAGGGCAAAAGGGGACAGTGGCTGATTTTCAGACGTTTGTGGAAGTAGACGAGAAGTCGATCTTTTCCACCAATCTTATCAAAGTATCATCCGATCTCTGATCTCCCAAATATGTGTTGATAAATCGGTGCACCCCTAATTTTTACTGATTAAAATTTTCATTATGTATCTGTGTTGCTCTGACGAAAGCTTGATATCACTACTTTAACTGTTGTAGATTGCTTTTTGATTGACCTCGGGAGAAACAGAGTCTGGATTGACAAGCTAACAGCTAAATAAAGTGGGGCAAAGAGGATTGCTGCTGTTCTAAAAGAACATCTTCTCCAAAATGTCAGTTTTTTTTATGAAATCTGTTTTCTAAACCTTTAAATCAGAGCAGCCCAAAGTGGGGCCGGCCCACCAAGCCATTTGATTAGGCCCACCAGCAGTTGTCTTGGTTACTAGATTATAATTATGTTAAGATTAAATATAGATTACAAGTAAAAGAGACAGAGTAGATTTAAGCCCAAATCTAGATTTGCGCACCTTATAAGACCCCATTTATTCAAATTTTAAATTATGAAAAGTCCCATGAATCTTTGCTGCCTTTTCCCCTTTATCCATGGGCTGAAAAAACTAAAGAATGTGGGCAACCACACTGGCTGCTAGCTTAATCATAAAAAATAAAACAACCTTTCTTAAGTATTTGTATTTCTTATATTGTTGCATTTGGCCCGCGGCCCTCAAGTTGATTTAAATTTTGGCCCTCTCAGGGAAAATGTTTGGGCACCCCTGCTTTAAATCAATATCTATTTGAATTGGCACAATTGTTTAAACAGAATACAGTTGATTTTTGCTAAATTTAGCAGTAGCATTCTTGTGCAGCCTGGGGCGTTTCTCTAGGAATATCATAATATTTTTACTGGAATAATTACGTAACGTGAAACTGAGTGTTATTTAAAGGTTTATGAACTGCTATTTCAATGAATAACTTATTACATCAAAAAGTAAGGGAGTTTATGTTTAGTAGATTATTTTTTTGTTACAATGCTTTTTGGCAATAAACCTTATAGTGGTCACCTGATTGGCAGCACCTGGGGGTACCAGTACTCAAAACAAGTGTCAACAACAACAGCAAAATAATCGTTTTGGTAGAGACGAGTTGGCAAATTTTTCATGTGCGCAAGCCACAAATGCAAGTTCCTTGCAAATGTGGCACTGTTTACAAGGGAAATTAGCAGGCTTTCCAACAATATAAGTTTTAAGAAGCATTGTTACAAACAAAGAAATAACCAACAAACACATATTCCCTTACTTTATGTGCTACATTTATGCCATTTTAAAGACTGGACTTGTTTTAAGACACCCAAAATCCACGTTCAGCCTCAGTACCACCTGACCAGATGTTAGCTAGGTCAAAACTGAATACTATTTCATTTCCAAAGAGCAATCTACAACAAATAATATGTTATTTATAGGCTTTCCATATAACTTCATTCGATAGGATCTGAACTATTTTTAATGGCAGTAAAGGTCAGGGCTTCCATTCAACGCATCGACTCGAAAAGCGACTAAACATTTCGGTCTCCTTTATTTATAGCTGTTGTGAAGATATGTGGTATGTATTCTTGTTTGTTTTCTCTTAACCGTCTGCTCAGTGTTGAATTGTTGCTTTAATCTCTTTAAGATCTGAAGCACCAGTTTCCTGCGCTGGAAATATTTGACTCTCACGCATTTATCACATTAGAGGCTCAATGAAAGGAGTGTTTTTTGATGCATAAACTCGTGACTTTTATTTTTATTTCACATCAGGTTATAAACTGTCATAAACAAGTTATGATTACTGAACTATCAAATATTTTAGTATAATCAGCTGAGTCACTTTAGATCTGGCAGACATCTGAGTGTAATGTCCTTATTTCCTTGAATGGCTGGAGAGACAGGAATGCAAACGCACCTGTCAAAGCCAAAAAACAGAGGGCGGGCTTAAAAGAGGTGTGCTGCATGTCATTTGTTTCAACCCAGGCCTCACACACATACAGAGACTCACAGCAGGAGGTGACAGCTCAGAGAAGAGGTCCTTCAAATCCTGCGAGGATGGAAACCTGGTAAGAAGAAAGCAGGGTCTAAACGGCGAGAGACAGTAGAACCATGACTTGGAGGAGCCCTCTGGCCCTGGTGAGGGATGCCCTTCAAGGTCAGAGGGCACGGGAGAAGGAACTCCGCAGCCTGACCTCCAATCTGCCTCATGAGGGACAGGGGAGAGGAACGCAGCCCAATCGCTTCTTCTCATCCAACGCCATCAAAACCACCAAATACTCGCTTCTGTTTTTCATTCCCATGAACCTTTTCGAGCAGTTTCACCGTCTGGCTAACATCTACTTTGTGGGTTTGGCCATTCTGAACTTTATCCCCGTGGTGAACGCCTTCCAGCCAGAGGTAGCTCTGATCCCCATCTGTGTCATCTTGTCTCTGACGGCCCTGAAGGACGCCTGGGAGGACTTTAGGAGGTACCAGTCGGACAGGAGGGTCAACAACATGCCATGTTTCATCTACAGCAGGTATTTCATCTGAAGAATACAGACTTCTGTGTTCTCAGACAATAGAATGGTAACACACGCGTCTGTTTGAGATTTTAGCTTCCTGCTGAGTGTAGACTGTACACAGTTGTGTATGTTTGTGTAGTGTGCGTCCTCAGCCTTTCAGCCCCCCCTTTTGGGAGTTTATGACTTAGAGAATGTGTGGCAGATTATTCCTCTTCTGAAGAGCAACACAACAGCATCTCCCCTCATCACACTGCGCACGTTTGATGAAACCCTCGTCTGGGCGTTGCGTCAGCAGATGCAGGCAGGTTAGCTGTTTGCTATTTTTGAATTACTGGTGAAAAATGAATAATTCAAACATGGGGAGGGAGAGGAGATCATTTTCAGGCCCTTTTATTTCGGCGAGGTTTCGCAGGAACAATGAGGAGGAGAGGATGCAGCAGAGATTTTATAAATCCTAAAGTTTCAAAGATCTCAGATGAAGTGTTTTGTGTTTACACGGCAGCAGGATTCAGGTGACCTGAAATGTGGACTCTCCTGACCTTGAATTTCAGACTGTTGTCAGACCTCTTCATCGTGATAACATCAGAGTGAGCAGCATCCTGAGAGTCTCTTATGATAAACCTTTATCTAAGATTTATATAAATAAACTGTAAGCATATAAATGCTCTGATGGGGAGCCTTGGGAGTAAAATAATAAATTAAGGCAAAGCAGACTTAAAACAAATGTAGAGAGAAGGCCCAGCCATGTGACAGGCTGACAGCTCACATGGAATGCAGTCAGATGAGAGAAACTTGGCGTTAATTCGTCAGATCTCCAGATTTCTTCTTCATCTTTTTGTTTTCACAGAGTTGTTGAAGAGTCTGAGGTCTGAGCTTGTTGAGCCTTACCTTTTGGGAATTATATTTCTTCTAAAAGAAACACTTATCAAACTGAAACGCACCGACTGGTAATCAATGTTTGAACAGAAAGTCCTGCTCTTGTTTTGTTAAACACATCTCGGTGTACCAGTGGACCTTTAAAACCAGTCAGCCCACCTCATCGACTTTAATTCTGAGTGAATGACTTTTATTTACACATTACACGTCACGCCTAGTATCAGTTTGTTACAATAGCTTAAGTATCATGTTAGTTTGCAGAATTATAACATATTTTGTTTTTCTTAAACAGAGACTAGATGAACATGTGTGACTTTATAAAGATGTATGTTCATGATTTTATTGGATGAAAACAACCTTTTTAAATAAAAGTGAGTGTTGAGGAGAATTTCCACACATGGATTTAGATGAAACAATCATGTTAGTGTAATTGAATATAGCTAAACTTGGTCATCACGCTCTTAAAAGTTTTGGTTCAGTCAAATTTATTATATTTGAACAGGGCAAATGGAATTTGTCTTGGTAAATGTTTTTTTAACACATACTGACAGATTTGTTTTGATTCACATTGTGATTTAGACATTTTACTGTAACAAAAATTGATTCAGCTCTTCTGTTTTATTTGTGTTGGTTTTGCTGAATGAATTACAACAAATTAAACAGATCAAGATTGAAATTAAAACTAGCAACAATAAATCACTGGATTATTCAACAATTACTTTTAATGATAGTTCAATAAACCCGGTTAAAAAAAAAAAACAACAGTAGTACAGAATTTTAGTCAATGTTAAAATAATTTGTTAGACTGAGCCGACAAAACCATATAATTCTGGTTGGGACAAATAAATATAAAGTCAAAAGAAGACATTAGTTCTAATTTTTTTCCTTCAACAAGTTACATTTTTGCCTGTTACATAATATGAAAATATGGAGCCCAATCAGTGACACTGGATATAATAAATTCATGCGTGGTCATGAAATATTAAGTCATGGCTTTGCGTTGGTTAATGCGTCGCCTCAAGATAATTTTGAGCAGTTTCTCTTTGTGAAAACAGTGTTTTCATATATAATCTGACTCCAATGAGTGTCTCTACTCGTTGGAGTCAGATTATATATGAAAACACTGTTTTTGTTTTTAACTGTTCTAAGGTACCCCACACGTAATACACTGCTCAAAAAAATAAAGGAAACACTTAAACAACGCACGCTAAGTCCAAGTAAATCAAACTTTTGTGAAGCACATTCAACTCTGTACAGAACAAAGTACTCAATGCGAATATTTCATTGATTAAGATCGGGAGTTAGCGTGCGTTGTTTAAGTGTTCCCTTTATTTTTTTGAGCAGTGTATTATTAATTATTCACGGTGTACGTTTAATTCAAAGAGTACACCTCCATGGTTCAATCTAAAGGGTTAATTTTTTTAATAGTACTAGTATATTTTTTACTGTGTTCCCGAACATGACTTAACACTGACTCCTTCACAGAAGTCTATAAAGTACTGGAAAAAATAAATAAGTAAAAGTAAAAATACCTTAAGAGAAAATGACTTTGGTAAAAATAAATTTCACTGATGAGAAAAATACTTAAGTAAAAGTCTTGAAACTGTTCATAAAAACTGGGAAAGTAAAAGTAAAGGTATATTTACACACTCTCTAAGAAACAAATTGTAGAATTTACTGAACACTTTAACAGTCTTTACTCCTCCGGAGGGCAAAAATGTGCAGTTTCTGCCTTTAAACATTTCCAGACGCTACCGGAGGCTTTTATTTTGAGGACTAGACTGTCAGACAGCTTCCTCCGGTTCTTAACTTTAAAACATATCAAAAGGCTTTTAAGGAATTTCAGAGGTATCTGTAAACCAAAATGGTTCCACTAAACCAAGTGGAGAAAATATTTTTGCCTCATATTTACTCTACTAGGTTTGGTGAAACCGGCTGACATGACTTGGTTGAGTAAATTCAACTCTAGAGGTTTTTATAGTGTATAAATAACTCCTTCCATGACGAATTTGGACATATTTAATTTTGTAACAATTAACTAAATGTTAAATTTTAAAGTAAAGAAGTAAAAGTATCAATTTTAGGTTTTAAATGTAACTAAATAAAAATAACAATTTAAAAAAATCCTTGGTAAAATTACAAATCCTCAAAAAGTTACTTAAGAACTGTAACAAAGTAAATTTACTTAGTTACTATAAACCTCTGCTCCTTCCAAAGTCATGAGGTGAGAGAGGAATCTGTTTTAAGTAGGGTTGGGCATAATCGTATCTTCTGCAATTAATCGTCAGAAAAACTTTAATCGATTATTTTTTGGCACTTGACGATTAATACGATTAATGCCACCTGGCAGACTGACTGGCTTTTTCCCCGGTCAGTCCGCTCGGTGCTCCTCTCCGCTTCAAATCTGACGAACATTTAAACAAAAGTTTTGTAATTTATTTATCAACACAATTTAAAATTTGAAGTACAGCCTGAAGTCTGTGATTTTGACACAGTTAGAAAAAGATTTTTACGAAGAGCAAATCTTTTCCACTAAATTGGTCATGTGACTAGGACATAAAGGTGTCCAGGGACTCCAGGGGATTAATCGTCAAATTAATCGTTATCAGCCAAACACCACAATTAATCGTGATTAATTTTTTTTACCAATATCGCCCAACCCTAGTTTTAAGTGTTGGGCTTGAATTTTTTTTTTGTTTTTGGACAAATACACACCTGGTCGTCACCTGTGTCTTATATCTGCAACATAAAATGCTAGGAATTACTGCACGCCTAACAGCAAAAGACCCAAGTATATCATTCAGTCCTATATTAAAATAAATTAAATAAATTCAAACTTGTCCGTGTAAACAATCAAAAGTCTCTGGTTTCATAAAAATGACTACAATAATTATCTTGCGGTCATGCCCACAAGTTATTGTTTTTTATTATCAAATGTCACCAGACGGGCTCAGTAAGAATAAATGTAAACTTAACTGAATGTGTTTTTGTTAAGCAGACGTACTTGTAAAACAAGTCTCAAGTTTTCTCTTGGAATCACTCCGACCACAATAACTTCAGGTTCAAAACTAGCAGGGAGTTTGAATACTTATGGGATGCAAATAATTTAGTTGAATTTTAAGTGTTTTAATTTCGTCAGTGTGTTTTTGCATCTTAAGTGACCAGTTCTGTCAGTCACAATTCAGTGAAAGTTGTCCTACACTTTCTGAACCAAGAAAACTAAACTGAGAAGGGATCCAGACGGTAACAACTCTGTCTCGCAAATTCTTTGAACTTATTCAAACGTCCCGTGACAAAAGCCCCTTGCAAACACGTGAGGAAAAACCCTCAAGAACTTTTCGAAGCATTTTGAAATTTCATTCCCAAACGCTGCCAGCCAGGTGGCACACATTGAAGCCATTCCTCCTAACTAAATGCTGATCTAAGCAAATTTGCTTTTTGCAGTATAGCTTCAGCAGCACACAACTCTGTGGCCTTTGTCTCAAATCTAAACTACAAAAAAATGCTGTTTTTTTTGCAAAGCACTTCACAAATGCAACTCCAAAGAGTCAGTCTAACACAAAGACATACTGTTTCTGAATGAAAACATCAGAGTGAAAAAACATCTCCTCCTATTGTTTGCAGCGAGGCGTGGTGTGAAAGCAGCTACCTGATCAGGTCCTACATGCAGAGCAGCATACCTTCAGCTCTCTGTCACAGCTGCTAGACCGGCTCGTTGGTTCTGATCACAATGAGAGAGAAAGGTCTCAGAACAGGCCCGAATGACAAGGGTTCACTGCCGTATTCATTAAAGCTTCTTTACTCCAAATTCAAAACAAAATCACCTGGACCCCTCTCCAAGAACAATGGCATTTTTTGGTCTTTTTGGTTTCCTGTTGTTGGTTCATGAACAGCTGCTGCTGCTGAGCTTTAGATTCGCTCCATTTAAAGTGAATCAGACCCAACAATCGGTAAACGTGACCAACATGTAAGAAAGGGAAAGCCGTCCAGGGGGGGGGTTGCGATTGTTCACGTCTGGCACCTCTGATCGCAGGAAGCAGAAACGGTTCGTGGAGAGACGATGGAAGGACGTGCGTGTGGGAGATTTCGTGAAGGTGGTCTGCAACGAGATCGTTCCCGCAGACCTCCTCCTGCTCTACTCATCCGAACCCAACGGCGTGTGCCACATCGAGACGGCCAACCTGGACGGAGAAACCAACCTGAAGCAGAGGACGGTTGTTTCTGGAGTTTGCACAACGGTGGGAGATTGAGGAGACATTGACTCTTTTTTTGATTGTTTTTCTATTCCAGCAGGTTTCCACACTTCTGTCCTCCTACTTCTTGTTTTTGACGTGTAACTGAACAGTGCTGACGTGTCCTGACGTTCCTTACAGAACCTGCAGGTTGGCATTATGTCAGAGTGTGAGATGACCGTCAGAAAAAAAGCATTCCTGTTTGTCCACATACTTCAGTGCATTATATTTAGAGTACAGCGGAGATGCTCGGGTACAAACATTACCAAATCATTCTTGATGTTCAGGTTGAGTGGGATGTAAAAAAAAAAGTTTCTATTCACATTGTAAACATAGTTTCTGATTATTTTCCAGGATCGTGGATTTGAACCCGAGAGCTTCAACAGCACTGTGGTGTGTGAAAAACCCAACAACAACCTGAATCATTTCAAGTGTTTCGTGTGAGTATCAAACACTCGGCTAACGCGAATTCCCACCCAAAACTCCTCAGAGGCTTTTAAAACAGCCCAGGCAAAATTAATTCCAACCCACTCACTGGACCCTTTCGATGCTCGCAGACACATTATTGGGGCAGTAATAGACTGTAATCGATGTCCTCGGGCACCACAGCTCTTACAGGAGCTCTCCTCCTGCCGTCCATCTACGGCCATAAAGCAAGAGAATCGCTAATGGGGAATATGTCAGCAATAATGAAAATCTAACAAGATCTGACAGTAAAGGCGATTCTCGTTCTCTCTTGCTGCAGAGAGAAACCCAATAAGGAGAAGTTGGGCGCTGGCATCGAGAGTTTGCTGCTGCGAGGCTGCACAGTGAGGAATACGGGCCACGCTGTCGGATTTGTGGTGTATGCAGGTATTTTTCTCTGCCAGCCCACTGCTTTAACCTTAAGCCTTTAAAGAAAAGTGATGCTTTTTTTTCCTTTTAACTAACCTTTAATTAATTATATAAAGCTGCTTGTACAGGTGAAGGTTTGCAAAGTTACAGAACACAAAAGCGAAGCGGCTTGTGATGCCTTGTTTTTGTAGTCCAGGCTCTTCCCTCTTAACATGTACAGTACATGATCCCTAGACGTAGCAATATATCTTCAACAGAGAGCGAGCAGCTACCGTACATTCGATTAGTGCTGATCAATCAGTTCACTAATCAAACCAGACAGGCTCAGTCAGGAGGGAGGCCTCAAAGAGACAAAAGCTGAAACAAAGTGCTTCAGATAAATATGCTGCGATCCTTTTACCTTAAGGGTTAGATCTGGGAGTGCCTTCTGCAAAATAAGTTCAAAATGCATTCTCTGCATTTTATGCATTCAAATCAACAACATACAGAAGACAGACAAAGCATCGTCAAAGAAAGATTTGAGGACTGTTTCATGTCATTTGCTCTTACTGGCTCAGCCAGAGCTCAGATATGTAGCCTCATGATTACGAGACTGACCGGCGAGCCGACGAGTTTGCAGTTCTTTAAAAAAGGTCATTTGTCATCACTTCTGTGCAGAGAGAACTTTCTGCCCCACATTACACTACTGTACAGACTCTGCACTCTAAAACTACAGCATGGCAGCTCCTATAAGAGGATGTTTTGACTTTACTTTTAAACAATTTAAGTAGACGGAGGTGCTTCATCCTTATTTATCTACAGTCTTAACACTTTTATTAGCTGCAGCATGGTAATATGTGTGTGGCAGATTTATTGAGACGTTAAGTGAAAGAAGTGAAAGTTAAGCGTTTATTACTGCAGCTATCATTACTCTTTATGCAGGAGGCAGCCATTTTGTTCCTTGACCTTGAAGTTAATTAGGAATCTCTAAATCTCTGAATCTACGGAGGCATTCCAGTTGTTGTTGTTGTTTTTTTACCTAAAATTTTAAAATTCCAGAGTATGAATGGAACACACTGATTATACACAATATAGCTATGTCGGGGGTTTTAACCATAGATTTGCAAAAATACTTTTTTACTTTTGTGAAATTCATCTTTATTGAATTTGTGTAAGCTATGTAAGGTTCAAGCTATACTTCAGTTTTATTAATTAATTTATTTTCTTTAACTTTTAAACAGTTACATTTAGTATAGGCAAGCGCAAAATTAACTGTTTTGTATAATATGGTGGTTTGGAGCATTCGTTGCTAGCACTAGCATCATGCTAGCATGCTAGCACTCCCTCAGTTTAGCATGCTAGCAGTTATAAACTCTCACAAGACAAGGTACAGATGAGGTTCCTAAAATAATATTAATATTATTTATATATGTTATTAACAATAATATTGTTTATTTTTTGTGATGTCATCATTAAATCTATACAAATAGAAGCCTAAATACATGTTTTTCCACTCTATCAAACAATTGTTGAGATGCTAATAGAAAGCTAGTGGTTGCTAGCTAGATTTTTTTATGTTCCTGTACACATAATGCAAAATTAGCTTGTTTGAGCATATGATATGTATTTTTTGTTAACTAACTTGTTATCTTTGCATACCTTTTAAGGCCATGAAACCAAGTCCATGCTCAACAATGGCGGGTCGAGGTCCAAGCGCAGCAAACTGGAGCGTAAGCTAAACATAGACGTCTTCTTCTGCGTCATCCTCCTCTTCACCATGTGTCTCGTCGGCTCAGTGGGTCAGTAATGAATCGCATCAGTTTACCGTAGAGTCACTGCACAAACTGACTCATTCTCATTTATGACGTGGAGGGGAGGGGCTCGTTAGCTTTTCAATTAAAAAAGATCGACTCACTTTGGCCACAGGCTCAACACGAGCTAAAAGAGGAGTTGGTGGAAATGTGGCAAAAATAGCTTTCCTGTCTGCCTGACAGTCAGTGTGAATAATCCTGCTGTTTTCATACATGCAGGTCACTACATGTGGCTGGAGTCACGGACTGGGTCGCCCCCGTACCTACTGCCTGACAGCAGAAGTAACAGTCTGGCTAGTTTCCACATGTTCTTCACCATGATCATCCTCCTGCAGGTGACATTGTTATCAATGTTTAAAAATAGTTCATTGAATACTTTGAGGTCATCTAACCCATTTTTGTTATCTTTTGTCTCTGGGTTACCCATCACCTTTTTGGCATCTCTTGTTGAACGAATCCTTCCTCTCAGATCCTGATACCCATCTCCCTCTACTTGTCTATTGAACTGGTGAAGATTGGCCAGATCTTCTTCATTGTTAATGACATCGACCTGTACGACGAGGAGACAGACAGCTGCATGCAGTGTCGAGCTCTGAACATCACAGAGGACCTTGGACAAATCGACTACGTCTTCTCAGACAAGACGGGCACTCTCACCGAGAACAAGATGGTGTTCCGCCGATGCACCATCATGGGCACGGAGTTTCCACACAAAGAAAATGGTAAATAACACCTAAAAAAGTAATAAAGTGCGAAGCTAGTGTGCCTCCAGGATCCTGATGCTACTGTAGGCTACTAATTAGAAATCACACAAAATACAGTGACTCACTAGTACACTAGTGCAAACAATAGGACATTTGCACTAATTTCTTTAGAGCCTGCAGTAGTACAAAACTTTAGAAATTGGATTATGTAAAAAACTGTATGAACTAACCTCTGTCTGAGTTTCCTGTCATTTCACTTTAAACAAATAATCCTAATGTTCTAAGTCAGTGTATTTTTGGGGGACATTTTGCAGCTATTCGCCTTGCTGTCCTTGATGAGCCTGAGTCCGAGGAAGAGATTATCTTCAACCAGCGTCCACATTCCTCCCAGACGGCTTGGTCCTTCGAAGGGGAGGACGCCGGACCCATGGACATGCATCGACGTGGCCAGAAGAAAAGCAAGGTGGTGGGAACGGCCCGGAGCGACGTGGCCTTCAGCAGTCCCCTGGTATGATGATTCCTAAGTTTTGCACCAAAAGTCACCTCAGGCTCACTTTGATTTACACGGAGCCCGTCTGGTGACAATGAATTAAAAAATAATAATAATAATTCGTGGCTACTAGATAATAACTTGTGGCTACAAGATAATTGACACATAGCCACAAGATAATTACTGCAGTCATTTCCATGCCCAGATTGTTGCTTGTTTACATAGACATGTTTGAGTTAATTTATTTTTATTTTAGAATAGGATTAAATGACGTACTACGTCACTTGTGGTTAGACAAATGTAATTCTTAGCATTACACGTTGCAGCTGTAAGACAGGTGACGAGTGGCGTTGTCTTTGTCCAAAAAAACTGTATTTTCTTTAAGTTCGACACTCAAAACAGGCTTCTCTCACCCTGTGTCTTAGTCATGTCGCATTCAGGAACGCAGAAAAAACAAACAAAAAACAAACAAACAAACAAAAAAGACATTTTTCCGACACGCATAGGGCATTTAATTTCATCTTGTAAATACTAGTAGGCTATTATGAAAAATTAACCTTATAGATTGAATTATGGAGGTCTAATCTTTCGTTTAAACACACACACACACACACACACACACATACACACACACACACACACACACACACACACACACACACACACACACACACYAATAAATAAATAAATACGTGTTACGTTTGAAGGATTAGTTGTAACATTACACTTTATTTGATAAACATATATTTTAAATGTTCAGTTTTGTACATTTTAAAAAAATATTTTAACACAGATGGGGCCATTTTATTTACATGCAAAGCATTCTGGGTAAATGATGACGTGGATAGGTCATCGGTGCGAGGCTGCTAGCCAGCTATATCCACCCTGAAGGTTAATCTTGGACAATATCTGATGATCGACTCTTTTAAATGAAACCAGAGAGCGTTGACAGAGAGGAGAAGGTAGAAATGACTCAGCCTGGAACTGAAAATATGGATGGAGGACAACAGAGCTGCTTCATGGAAGAAGAACCTCAGCTTAGCCTGTTAGCCTTAGCATTAGCCCCGATGCTCTGGTGTGACAAACAAGCTAAACTGAGGTCCTCCATCCATATTTTCAGTTACAGGCTGAGTCATTTCTACCTTCTCCTCTCTGTCAACGCTCTCTGGTTTCATTTAAAAGAGTCAATCATAGATATTGTCCAAGATTAACCTTCAGGGTGGATATAGCTCGCTGGCAGCCTCGCACTGATGACCTATCAACATCATCATTTACCCAGAATGCTTTGCGTGTAAATAAAATGGCTCAGTTCGTGCAATATATTTTTAAACTTTTAGTTTAAAAATAAAAAAATAAACAGGCTACAGTATTTTTACAGTCTTCATTTTAAAGTTAAAATAAAAGTTTATCAAACAAAGTCCAACGTTGCAACTAATCATAGATCCCTTTAAATTATTATTAATATAGTATATATAATCTAAATGCAACATTGTCTCATCGTGACCGCAAGATAATTAAAATGTAGCCATGAGTTATTATCTCATCTCAACGCATAATTTTTACATTTTTTTAATCCAATGTCACCGGTGGGGCTTCATAATTTTATGCCTCTTTGTGTACAATAGTTTTGTCAAAGGGTCGTGAACATTTTTTTTTTCTAGTAGAAACTGTTTTTACCAGTTTCAAATTGTCCAAAACCTCAAACGGTCCTTTTATTTTACCCAAATCGGACTCATCTCTGAGTCAAAGGCCTCGTGGTCCCAGTCCCTGCCACAGATGGTGGAGCTGCTAGGTGTCAGCGATGGCTCAGCGGCGGCCCTGTGTCTGTGACGGGACATATGGTCACACCGAGTACCACTTGGCATGCATCATCCATGTTACATCAGCTGTAAATGTGCACTATAGATTAGTCAGCTGCTGTTATGATATACAGTACAGTATCTCTGTGCCTATTTTTGTCCAGGAAGCCTGGAGATACTGAGTCTGAGACAGGGAAAAAAAAAAGGCCTGCAGAGAGCCCAATTTTACTGCTTCACACGCTGCGTCTCAAGCAGAGCAGAATGATTGCAGGGGGAAAAAAAACACATCCTCCCTTCTTCTTTGTCCTTCATTTAACCTTGCATTAAAAAAAGGTCAAACATAAAGTTTAAAACCATTAAAACTTTCCCTAAATTAAGTCAACCAATAGGAGACACTTTTATTTGAGTGAAATAAGGTTTTATTGATGCACGCTGAGCATCCAGCAGCCTGATTAACTGCTTTCTCCTCCACCAGGAAACTGAAGTCGTTCCGGATCAGAACCTGGTCCGGCAGATTAGCAGAGCGGAGAGCAGAGGCGGCAGCCAGAGGACGGATCCTTACCTGGACTTCTTCCTGGCTCTCACCATTTGCAACACGGTGGTGGTTTCCAGGGCAACAGCTCGGAGACAGAGGGTGAGTTTGCTGAGAGAGCAGCCGAAGCCGAGGAGAGAGAGAGACAAAAATGGATGAAAATTCTGTCCTCTTTAAACTTACAGCAGCTCAGCACACCTGGTGAACAGATGCATTTGTGTAGACCTAAAATAAATCTGTTTTAAAGGTCTAGTAACAATGTTTTCTGTGTGTTTGCCTTTATTTTTAGGCGGGTTTGTCTCCATGCTCCTCTCAGACAAATAACTCTTTTGAAGCATTGTCTGATCTGGTGAAGAAGGCCAGTTTATTAATCCAACGCAAGTCCAGCAGATTCCGCGCCCAGTCCCAGGGCCCGGTCATAGACTCTGTAAGGATGGAGAGCCCTGCAGACACTAATGGTCTGTCCCCGAGCGTCAGGCCTACAGCACCTGCAGGCTCAGAGAATCTCTACTATGAAGCAGAGAGTCCAGACGAGGCGGCCTTGGTCCACGCAGCCAGGGCCTACGGGTTTGTCCTGCTGGCCCGCACCCCTAAAAATGTGAGTGTGAGGCTTCCGTCCGGGCAGGTCCTGGACTTTGAGGTGCTGGACGTCTTGACCTTCGACTCTAACAGGAAGAGGATGTCTGTGCTGGTGCGACACCCCATCACCAAAGAGTGCGTGCTGTACACCAAAGGTGCAGATTTTGCCATAATGGAGCTGCTGGGAACACCATACGCAGGTAACTGCTGCTCAGAGTAAAATTAGTTCAGCTTATTTGAGCAGAAAGGACAGAGTAGAAATAATATTTAGCTCCGTGCAAATGGTTTAAACCAGCCCTAAACGTGGGAATGCTGACTCAGCATTCAGTTTTCCTGTTTTTCATTTTAAACATGCTTTTTTGTAATCTAACTACATCTGAAAACCCTGTGCAAATCTTTCAGCTCATACAGGACTTTTGTTTTTTATTTCCTTTTATAACTTGAAAATTTTAAATATTTTCCCCTTAGAAGTCATTCTTTAAATGAAAACGTTGTCTTTGAAATCTGTTTCAGCATACTTGTTCTATTTTTTTTTGTTGTTTATGCTACTTTTAGGTTTTAATGGATCATCAGCTAATTTTTGCATTTGCTACTTTAGCATTAAGCTAGCTTTTTAATTGTTTTTGCTACTTTTTAGGTCTTAACTAGTCTTATGGTTCTTCAGGTTTAGCAATTAGCTATTTTTAGCTTTTAGCTAGTCTTTTGCTACTTTTCGGTTTTAACTAGTTTTATGGTTCTTTAGGCTTAGCAATTAGCTGTTTTAGCTTTTAGCTAGCCTTTTGCTACTTTAGAGAATCCATTTGCTATTTTTTAGGTTTTAATGGGTCATCGGCTACTTTTTGCTTTTGCTTCTTTAGCATTTAGCCAGCTTTTTAATTCTTTTTGCTACTTTTTAGGTTTTAACTAGTCTTATGGTTCTTTAGGTTTAGCAATTACCTGTAGCTGCTCTTAGCTTTTAACTAGCTTTTTGCTAGTTTTAGCTTTTAGCTAGCCTCTTGCTTCTTTAATGAGCCTTTTTCTACTTTTTTCGTTACTTTTTGGCTAATTTTCTGCGGTCAGACCTTTTGTATTCTTTCAAAGTATTGATGATCTGTAGTTTTTGTTCTGACTTTGGCTGCTTTATCATCCATCATCCAAGACATAGTGACTCCAGGCTTTTGCACTGTACTATGTTCTACAGTATTAAAAAATGACAGTTTTATTAGAGTTGTGTTTTTTTTATCTGCAGAAAACCTCAGTAAGAGTCATAAAAACATAGCGTCTGATACTCAGCGTCACCTGGACGGCTATGCTAAGGAGGGTTTCCGCACTCTGTGCATCGCTAAGAAGGTATGAAACTCACCACACCCAAACATCATTTCTCCTGCAGAACAAGATGTTTGTTTCATCCTCTTTATTTTTCTGTGGCAGGTTGTGAGTGAAGACGAGTACAGACGCTGGTTGGTGAGCAGAAAGAGCGCTCAGGCTGCTATAGAGCAGAAGGAGCAGCTCATCATGGACACAGCTGTGCAGATGGAGACAAACCTCACCCTGCTGGGTAACACATTTCAAACCCTCGTCACCCACACCTCTTGAAATACAGATAATAAGATCTGTGTCTGAACCATGGCTGTCCTCGGGACGTTTGTCCTCCTGCAGGGGCGACGGGCATCGAGGACCGGCTGCAGGAGAACGTCCCGGACACCACTGTGGCTCTACGAGAGGCAGGGATCCATGTGTGGGTGCTGACAGGTGACAAGCTGGAGACGGCTGTCAACATCGGCTACGCCTGCAGGCTACTGGAGGACGAAGACCTGTTGATTAGCATGAGCTGCAAAAACAAGGTGAGGATAGCCTCAAAACGGGCTGCCTTTTTATTCTATTCGTAGCTAAAACATTTTGATGAGAGTGTGGGGGTCTGCCTTTAAAAACAGGGTCATGCAGGAACCAAACCTTCATAATAACCTGGGGTTTTCTCATCAGATAGAAATTACTGAGGTGAAACAGAGGGAGCTGCTCCGGTCTCATCTGAGTCACTAAAGTGACTGATGATGACTGGAGTCAGGCGCCCCCTAAACAATAACTAATGCTTTCATACCTAATTACCAGTCTAAAATCCAGCTCTCAAAGGAAATACTCTTAAATTAACTTTTTTTGTTTTGTTTTCGTTTGATGACCAATTGAGTGTTTCACTCCTTCATCCACCATCCTGTCAAACCTATTTAAAACAGCCAGCTGTATTCAGGGGGAAAACAGGAAAAGCCAGGCGTATTCATCATGATAGTTTCCTTTTGGCAAAGTGTGGCAGAATGACGAGTCTAATGGGACCAGAGCCTGAGTCAGACCGTAATCTGTGGTCTGTTAGAGCGATAATCCAGCAGGGATATTTTTAACAACAATGGTTTTATTTGGGTTTTTAGGTTACGCTGTCAGTTTTCACAACTACACGTTTTTTAAGTAGTAGTTGGAGATTTAAGTAATCCTTGGATGCACATCTTCAACTGATTCAAGATGGCCGCCACGATTGATCAAACTCAATCTATTTTACAGATATTGAACAAACATGGTAGTAGCTGAGAGTCGGGTATAAGGTGATCCAGGTTTAATGTTTATGCTAAAGTTGTAAGTATATGTTGTACAAGTTGGGGATGACTCAGCTACTACCACACCAGATTTTAGCTCAATATCTGCAAAAAGGGTAGAGTTGTAACCATTTTTGTGTAGGATAAGGTTGGTTAGCTGTGACGGCCATCTTTGATGTGGTTCACTCCAAAAGGGAATCAGATGTAGTTTAATCTTCATTTAAATCAATCCACTGATGCACAAAACATTTTGCTAACAGATGTGATCCTTAATTCATTCATGTTTATTTCTTTAGCACCAGCTCACAATAAAAGTCGTCTCATGGTAAATAAAATAAAATAAAATAAAACGTGCTAAAACTCTAAAAAGTACTGCAGTCAAAGTCCAGCTGTTGTGTTTCAGGTGACGTGTACGTCCAGCCTGGACTGTAATCTGGAAGAGATGAGGAGGTACAGCGAGAACCCTCAGAATGTGGGCACCATTCCCAACATCTCCCTGGTGATCGATGGACACACTCTGGCCATGGTGCTGTCCCCCGACCTGCAGGACCGGTTCGTGGACCTGGCCAAACGCTGCCGCACGGTGCTGTGCTGCAGAATGACGCCCTTACAGAAGAGCGCCGTGGTGAAACTGGTCAGGGACAAACTCAAAGTCATGACGCTGGCCGTCGGTAAGAAGAAAACAACATTTGAGCTGATTGTTTACATATGATACATTACATATGATGTCTCAGTTTGTATATAAAGGAAATAAATTAGTTGTAAATGTCTCATTTTGCACTGATCATGTGATCCACATTAACTTGATGTCAGTTTGTCAGTGCAGATTAGCTATGGCAGCCATCTTGAACAGGGTTGTACATGATGATGTACATCTAATAGTTACTTTCTGAAAGCTTCATTAAAATCTGACATATTTTGATAACAAAGTAGGCTGACTCCAACACTTTGTGCTAAAGTTTGAAACAAATATTTCCCACAAGTAGACTCTCAGCTACCCCTGCACCAATATTTAGCACGTCTGTAAAACTTACAGTTCCCATTGAACTGTAAATTCATTTTTACTTTAAATTCATCCACTTCCCACATTAGGCAAATATTCCAACATTTAGTTTAGAGCATAAAGACACATGTAGAGCAGAATCATACCAAAGACCTGATTTATTAAACTGTAATAACTGTGTCGAACTCAGTTAAAGAATAAAATGTCAAAACTTTGAGGAAAAATCCAAAGACTGATGTTGAAAACTGAACTTGTGTGAATAAACTGTGTTGTTTGTGATTTCAGGTGACGGTGCAAACGATGTCAACATGATCCAAGCAGCTGATGTTGGTGTGGGGATATCCGGTCAGGAGGGGATGCAGGTTGGATCTTCTTTCTGTGACTGCAAATAAACACATTTTTAATCAAATAGTTGTTTTTACACCAGCCTTAAACGCCTCACGTGTCCTCTCTGTCACTTCCAGGCGGTCATGGCGAGCGACTTCGCCATTTCTCGCTTCAAGCACCTGAAGAAACTCCTGCTGGTCCACGGACACTGGTGCTACACTCGGTTGGCCAACATGATTATTTATTTCTTCTATAAGAATGTGGTGAGTCTCAGATCTGAACTGGAGGGCTCTGAGGTCTTCTGCTCTGACTTGTTGTTAATCCTGTTTTTGTTTTTATTTTCAGGCCTATGTGAACCTTCTGTTCTGGTACCAGTTCTTCTGTGGCTTTACAGGCACAGCCATGATCGACTACTGGCTGATGATTTTCTTCAACCTCTTCTTCACCTCGACACCCCCCATCATGTTCGGGATCTTTGACAAAGATGTATCTGCGGAGGTCCTGCTGGGGGTCCCTGAGCTGTACAGGACGGGTCAGGGTAAAGGGGTCAGTAAGGAAAAATAAAAACAACTAAAGATTTATTAAGACGCATTTGAATAATGTGTGCATTCCCAAATGTTTTTACACACTTCCTGTTCTTTAGGAATATAATTTCCTAACGTTCTGGATTTCCATTCTGGATGCCTTCTATCAGAGCCTGGTGGGCTTCTTTATTCCATATTGGGTAAGAAACACGTTTTTCTATGGTACGTTCCTTTGTTAATCAATGGTTCCCATCTTTTCTGACATTTAATTGTTTGTTTTATTTTTGGCTTAAGGTTTATAAGGATTCAGATGTTGATATTTTCACTTTTGGAACTCCTCTGAACACCATCTCTTTATTCACCATGCTGCTGCATCTTTCCATAGAAATCAAATCCTGGGTGAGTGCTGACCTGAGCTTTATCGCTCGCTGTTTTTTCGCTCGCTGTTTTTTTTAACCAAAATATCTCATGAACCATTTAAAAAGAATTTGAAGGGATTTCTCAAACTGAATGAACCTTAGCACAAAGTAAGGAAATTTGTGTTTGGTATGTTATTTCTTTATTGTAACAATGCTTCTTGGTAATAAATCTTAAGCAATTTAAAAGTCTGTTAATTCCCTTTTAAATTATGCCACATTTGTAAGGAACATGCATTGTGGGATAAGCAGAAGAACTGAGTATGTATGTTGTACACATGAAAAATTTCTCTGCCAATGCCAAACAGCTTATTTTGCTGTTGACACCGTTTTGAGTTCTTCTGGTACCCCCAGGTGCTGCCAATCAGGTGCTCTGTATAAGATTTATTGTCAAGAAGCATTGTTACAACAAAGATATAATCTACCAAACAAAAAATTCCTTACTTTTTGTGTCAAGTTTACTACATATTCACTTTCAGACTCCACAAAATTCATATTGACTGCCACAACCACGTGACTACAGAAAACACTAAAATGGATGTAATTCAGTCAATTTCACAGATTTTGAGCTAAAACCTGTCACGTTAGAAGCTTAGAATCCTTCATAACATTATACCAAAACTTTTACTCAGTGTGCAAGTTCGTCGCTTTAAAATTCAACACCATCTGACAACAAAAACAAATCTCTAAATAACCTCAAAATAGATGTTATTTAATGTGCATCTGCCACTGATTAGCTTAGCCACCACTGCTAATCCAAATAAGAAACCACCAAAGTAATTATAACTCAGTCAATTTTTTTTTAAAAACTGAGCTGAAATTTATTGTAGTAGTAGCGTCATCCTCAACACAGACCCACATAGTAAAACAGGTTTGGCCCAGTTCTGGCCCACACTGCAACTCTCTTACTCTGTCCAGATGCTGTAAAGAATGACAGCTCTTTGGTAACCCCAGATATGGTTTTCCAGAGGTGGTCTCTGAATGGGCCAGCACCACATAAACCAAACCACAACAAGGCCGGTTGTGACATGCAATTTTAAAATCAGTGCCAGCACTGCCAGACCCCTGGCCCACATCAGGTTGTCATATGGCCAGCAGGGCCAGCCTGACACCAGAACTGGCCCACAGCTGTGTGCTACGTATATGGGGGACTCTGATGTTGCAGCGTAACATTAGAACACCTATATTGTTTATTTTCAAAGTTAAACAGCTCCATCATTTTCTAATTATAAGATCTCCATCTAACTCTCTGGTATGAAAGGCAGCGGGTGAAAAACTGTACCTTTATTCAAGGAATAATATGTTTTTTATTTATTTATCCCTGCATCAAAGTATTTCTGTTCCTATTAAATATGTCTTGTTGTTTTTGTTTGTGTGGTAGACGGTGGTCCACTGGATTATCATGCTGGGCAGCGTGGGGCTGTACTTCGGTGTGACGCTTGCCTACAGTGCCATCTGTGTTAACTGCAACCCCCCGTCCAATGCCTACTGGGTGCTCCAGAGCCAGATGGGCGATCCCATGTTCTACCTAGTCTGCACCATCTCCACGCTGGTAGCTCTGCTCCCCAGGTACCGTCATCGCCCCTGCATCTGGTCGCACTTCAAATTGAGCAGGAAGTAGGGATTTATTGTGCTCTTGTCATCATAAAAAAGTGATTTGGAGAAGATCAAAAGCAGCAGATTGTAGCCTTTCCCCACACTATTTTTTTTTTCATTTGTACTTTATTTCATGTGCTGTCCCAGTATATGTACTGTATGTCATTACATGTTGGGAAATCCCTAAGTCTGTTTTTATCAGCCCAAAGACGAAGGCAGACTAACATGTTCCTGTGTGTGATTATTCTTAGAAAGCAATCGCTGGATGTACATCTACAGCTGATTAACTTTAGGAGTCAACTCAGTTTAAGATGGTTGCCACAACGTATCAACCTGAGTCAACACAAAAATACCTCCAGTTCAGTCATTTTTACAGATTTACAGCTTAAATCTGATGGTTTAGTGGCCAAGAGTCACCCATAGCACATAGTCTGAGCACTAACATGTCGAATAACATGACATCACACATATAGTTATTTACAACTATTAAACTCTGCTAAGACTTTCATATAAATTATAAAATGACTTCCATAATAAAAAAAAACTACATGCAATGTAAGAACTCTCAAATGTCATATCACACTCCAGCAAAAAGATTCAAAATGGCAACAAAGTGTTAACTGAGTTATGATTATCATAATGATAATAAAATTAAAGATGAATGATAAATAACTTAGTTTTCCAATTTGTTTTTTAATCGTTTGCTCATTACTGTTTCCCAATATTAGATTACATTTGAGCTCTCCCAACATGGGAATTAAAATGATAAAAGGCATCAAATAAAATCTCTAACATTAGAAACTTATATCTGTTTATGAGGAGCCAAAACTGATCAGAACATCTTTTCGGTGTGTTTAATCCTGATCATTTGTCTGTATTTGTGGTTTAGATTTTGTGCTGACATTTTGCATTTGTAATAAACTGAAAGGATTGTATATATTGCAAATGTGTTCTGGGCTAACCTGCAGTTTAAAAAAAGCATTAATAGAAAGGTTCAGTGTGCTCTGCAGCATCCCTCGTCTTCCTCTCTGCTGCTGATGCTTCTCTTGAAAGTGCTGATATTTAGAGAAGATGCTCTGATTTACATCAAAGGCCCACATGTTTTTTTTCCACTGGCCTAGTTTTCTAACCACCACCCTCCCTCTCTCTCTCTCTCTCGCTCTCTCTATCTCTCTCCCCCTCCCTCCTTTCCTCCCTCAGGTACACGTTTCACGTGCTGAAGAACTCCATATCCCCCTCCCCACTCCTACAAGGCCGGGAACTGGACCGGATGGACCCCAGCACAAGAGATCAGTGGATCAGGGAGTGGAGGGGCTTCAGAGGAGGTGGAGGAGGGCAGGTTAAACGCTACCAACTGTCTCCCCCACCCTCTCCCACTCAGGAAACCCCCGTGGACTTTCGTCCCGAGTTTCTCAACAGTGCTGAAGCCACGAGTGATGATTTCAGTCTGAACGTCACCACACAGAGGCCTGTGTACACATGATGGGTTTTAAAAAAACGAGCACCATGATAATAATTTATTTAGAAAATTGTAAATGTCTGAACTGCTACATGTGGATGAGTGAGTACTGTTTTGATTTTGAAGGGATAAAAAAAGACTGGATGTAAATTTTCCAATAAACTGTTAATTTAAGCATGTAGGTTAACGTCTTCTTCCTCTCCTCTGAACAAATATGCCTGATAATTTCCTGATTGGTTTTCAGCTCATGGTGGTAACCCAATTAGTCATGACACCCACTCCTTTAAAATAAATGGCACTTTCCCGAGCAAAACTCTTCCCACCGACGATTAATCACAAACAGGATTCATCTATCTTGTAAAATAGTCACAAAAGTACACAATAATACATTTTCCCCCTCCTTTCAATTTTCCTTATCAAAGCCACTTGTAAAAAACAAAAAGGGCTGACTCATCACGAGCATACTTCATTATACAGATGCAGCTCTGCTTATATAACAGTCTTCAGTTGGATCATTGCTGCCCTCTGGTGCTGAGAATAAAGCGCTGTGGGAAAGGTCACAGGGACAAAGGGAAACAGGCATTCAGACAGCAGAGGTTTGGTTTCATTGTATGAGGGGATTCAATTTATAAAAATGCATCTTTTGTTGAGAAATTGGCACAGCGTAACTAAAAATACACATCTGTTGCAAAGAATCAAATCTGCTAACATATAACAAATTGACAAGAATGTTCTGAGGGACAGTCAAGTTGTTTTTGATGTGATTACCACCTTAACTGTGACGTCAGAGGCATGATGAGTATTAAGAATAGAGGAAAAGTCTTCCTCTAGGCTAACGGCTATCAAAACGGTACCTTGTTTTGTCGTTTTTAGGCTTATAAAACAACCCTTTCTAAAATAAATGTCCTACAGATGTGGAGTTAAATATTGTTTATATATATACTTTTTATTATATACTGTACATTGGCTAATTTTAAACCTCAACACTTTTGCATGACTCTATTGTTGCCGTCCAAATCAAACAATGTCCATGTTTCTACACAATGTGCTGAGCATACAAATTGTGTCATGTTAATGTGCTGAGATTTAATATCAGCAAATGTAGCATTTAATTAACACTTGAATGTAATTTTTTGGGGAAAAAAAGAAGGCCTGAAAAACTATTTAAAGAAATGGGCCCTCATTTTGCTAGCTGTTAGCCCAGCCTGAAGAAAGGCTTCTGCCGTAGAGGACACTAAAAGGTCACTACTAGTCAGGTTTGGATAAATGATACCAGAATGCAGTAAATGCCATCCACTTAATTCAAAATTTTCTCATCTAAAATAAACAAATCCTAAAGGATGTCTGAATCAAAATTTCTTATTTAAATTGCAAATTTTCTTTAGGCCAGGTTTCAGTATATTTTATTCTGTTTTTGGAGGGGTTAGTTAGTTTACTTATTAGTTTACTTATTATACTGTGCCCCTTTTTCTCAAATAAATAAATTTCATCAAAAATAATCTTCAGTTTACAAAAAAAGAGAGAAAAAAGAAAAAATAGTAAAGGTTTAATGCCTTCAACAACAATTCATACATTTACATATTTCACCAGCAAATTAACTCTTATCATTCTCTTAAATATACTCATTGATCTGGCATTTTTAATGCCATCTTCCAGATTATTCCATAATCTTATACCTTGGACTGAAGTACTCTGTTCCTTTAAACTGGTTCTAACTTTAGGTCTCACAAACATTTCTATCCCCTCGAGATCATAACAACTCTCTCTTTTGACAAAATATAATTGGATGTTTGAAGGTAATGTGTTTTTATGAGCCCTATACATAACTGATAAAATACTATAATTAACAAAATCATAGAATTTCAATAACTTCAACTGATGGAAAAATGTATTTGATGGGTGATAGTAATGCTTTCTGATGATATTTCTTACAGCTCTATTCTGTAAAATGAAAACAGGATTTGTAAATGTTTTACAAGCTTTTTCCCCAAATATCAATTCAGTAGATCAAGTGTGGGACAATTATTACATTATACAACATAAACAGAACTTTATCATTAAATAAATCATTTACTTTGTACAATACTGCAATGTTTTTGGCTATTTTAATTCTAAAATGATTTAAATGAGGTCTTTATGTCAGTTTCTCATCAATGATGACAATCAGAAACTTCACCTCACTGACTCTACAGATCTCAGTACCATCAACTCTAAATGGAACATCAACAGTTTTCTTTCTATTACTGAATATCATATAATTAGTTTTATCTAAATGTAACGATAATTTATTAAAACACATTTCAACAACTCTGACACATTTACCAAGTCATTCATATATAAAATAAATAACTCTGATCCAAGTACTGAACCTTGGGGCACTCCACCTGTGACATTACTTAATTCAGATCTTACATCGTTTATTTGAACAAACTGTTTTCTATTTTTCAAATAGCTACAGTAGCTACCCACTGTAATGTTGGTCCTCTAATACCATATTTGTTCAGTTTTTCAATGAAGTGGTCACTGGTGTCAAAAAAGCTTTCTTCAAGTCAACATAAACACCAACACAGTATTGTTTATGATCAACAGCAGTTGTTAGTTGCTCTATGAAGTCCATGAGTGCCATTGATGTGAAATATTTCAGCTCTAAACCCACACTGACTGCTGCTTGATATATTATGTTTATCGATAAATTAATCTAATCTGGTCACAAATAACTTCTCCAGAATTTTCGACAACTGTGGCAACAATATTTCCATATTGGTTTGTAATTATTGAACATACATTTCTCACCATTCTTAAAAAGAGGGATTACCTTGGCTATTTTCATGTCTGGAAATATTCCTGTTAAAAATTATAAATTACAGACAAATGTAAATGGCTCAATAACATCATTCATCATTTCTTTTACAAACATCATGCCCATGTCCACACAATCTTTTGATGTTTTGTCTGCAAGATTTTTTGCAATTTTCCTGATTTCTTCTTTATCAGTTCCATCAAGAAAAAATACTGTGTTTGATTCACATTTTTATCTACTTTTAATATTTCAGCTGCAAGACTTGCCAACATTCACAAAATAATTATTAAATCCATTTACAATTTTATTTTGATCATGTGTTTCTTTTCCATCTTTTACAAAATATTGTGAAAAATCTGATCTTGCTTCATGGCTCTTTAAGACACTGTTCATTACTCGCCATGTTTCTTTCATGTTGCCCTTACTTTTGCTTAATAAATCACTGTAATATTCTTTCTTATGTTTTCTTATAATCCACAATTTGTTTTTATATCTCTTGTATTTCTCTTCGGATTCTTTTGTTCTCAATTTCAAAAAGTATGAATACAAGTAATTCTTTTTTTTACAAGTATTTCTCAAACCTTTAGTCATCCATGGTTTATTATCAACATTTCTTTTTATATATTTTTTTTGCACACAGTTCTTTTCATGCAGTGCACCTAAAATATCCATGAAAACATTGTATGCTTTGTTTACATCTTCACATCTTTCCAGTTTTGTGTTTTTAAATCATTTTTAACTTATCCAGAGCTTTTTTTTCACTGTGTTTATTTATTTTTTTCTTGATTGAAACTATTTTTGTACTGTGTTGATGATTTTTATAAATGGTGAAAACCGGCAAATGATCGCTCACATCAGTCATCAAAATACTACCCATTAATTCTCCATTAGTTGTGTTTTTAAAAATGTTATCAATTATTGTAGCACTATGGGTTGTGTTTCTTGTAGTTTTTGATATCAGCATATAAAGATTTAAACTTTGCATTGAATTTATAAATGTATCAGTATTATTTGAGTCTGTTTTATTTCCCAGGTCAATATTAAAGTCACCACGTTAAAAAAATTGTTTAGTTAGAACTATTTTCCACAGTTCCATGATTTTATCAGTGAATATCTCTATATTTGATCCTGGTGATCAATATACACTGCTTATTAATATGTTTGAAGATTTATTATTTATTATTTCAATTGTTATTATTTCCATATTATCTAGAATTATTGACATTTTATTATTGAATTTACATTGTATTTCATTATTAATTAATAGAGCCACTCCACCCCCTCTTTTATTACTTCTATTCATAATTTACAGATTATTTCCTGAATGTCATTTGTGTGTTCATTATTTAACCATGTTTCTGACAGTGCCACTATACTAAAATTTCTGTTTAATTGTTTTAAATAATCAGTTATGTTAGATAAGTTAGCATTAATACTTCTACTATTAAAATGTATAATGGAAAGACACTCTTTTGTTACATTATTATTATTATTATTATTAAATTGCTCAGCATTGTAATATTCACTGTTTTTGATTGTTGGAAAGAAATTTGAATCGATCATTTCATCTACGAAATGATCGATTCAAATTTTAGATTCTGAGTCCATGTGAGTCATATTATGATGTAAATGTCCATTTGTTCTTATATTTTAATCATTTCACTTGCTCCAGTTTTTTCATTTACTTTTGGCCCATCTTGCCTTCATATAAATACTTTTAAGTCCTACAGCTCCTTCATCATTTTTGCCTGTGAACCATCCTTCACTCTCACCCAAATATTTCCATTACGTGTCCAAGTTGCAACTATCTTTTTCTGTCTCTTCAACAACCGTGCACATTCATGTACAACACTCACTCACATTCGTTTACAACCCACACAGTTGTAGTACTTGATTACTGCTTATCAGTGTGCATTGCGAATGCAATGCACGTTATTGTGATTCGTTTCCCATCCAAGTCATCTCCACTTTGCCATGCTTCTCCTCCTGCATACTTTGTCCTAGAGCTGCCATTGTAATTTATATCTGTAAAGCTCCTGTGCCAAATGATGGCTATGCCTTTTGGTGCCTGTACAACTTATAGTTTTTGAAATATTAATGTTTAATAAATTATAATGGGAGTCAATGGACCTTGAATTTGTCCAATACTGCCCCTTGCTGTATCTACTCAGTATGGAACTGCACCATAGTTTAATAATTATATTTAATCTCAATTATTGCAGTGATTACAATATTGATATATATGTAATTTGATGTATTACTATATTATTGTCTTATAAGCAAAAACATTTTATATAATATTGCTCTACTGTTGTAATATTATGCAGTTCTTTGTCAACGATCATCATTGGCAATGTTGCCTCTTTCTACACACATAGAAAACAGCACTGGGATTGTACTTTCTCCCAGCACCAATGGTCTTGTGATTAATGTCATAGCCTTTCATGTGGGAGATCAGGGCTCAAATCCTAGCTACAATAAGTTTAACAAGAAATTTATTCTAACTTCATATTTTCACACAATTACCCTCATTACAAACACCTGCTGACAGCCACAAGCTGGTACTCGATTAGAAAACACATTTGAACTTGGTCAGTTCATTCTGCAAGTCCATAGCTGCAGGCAATGACATGCTACAAGGCAATGCACACTTGTTTTTACATCGTAAAAACCCATGTCTAGTTAGCTTTTGCATTTGTTTCATTACTCTTAGGAAATACTAACAACAGTGTAGAGATCCATTTTGCCGTTTAAATATGTAAAAATATTTGAAAGAGTAACTGTCCCCATTTTCCCATATCATCTTTATAACATTTAGTTATTTTTTATCTTAGAGTTGGAAATGTCCCCAGATTTAGTGTCAGAAATCTGGTCACCCTATTCTTCCCTTTTCTCCAAACTCCCTGTCTCATGACTTATAATCAGGGTTCCACATAAAATGTTTGGTCTGGTTCTCAGGGAGAACCTGGGGTTGTTGCTTGGTGCTCATATTTTCCTTCACTCAGTTAACACATTTATCTAGAGGGGCGTCAGGTCATCTCTCTATAGGGCTCTGGTTACACCCACCCAACAAATCATAGAATTCATGTACTGTGGATTGTCTAAACCTATGTCCTGGTACAAGACTTCCCAAGTCACTCCCTGATGTTCTTTGTCCATAAATAAATCACAACTGCAACATATTTACACGTCATTAAAAAAAACATTTATAAAGCTACAGGTACATTTAACGCCTGAGAACAAATCTTTTGACATGAACTGATGTGTTGAAAACAAAACACCGTCATTCAGGATAAAACATCAAGGTGCCCACAGAGGAAAAAACAAACAAACCGACAAAAAATGCAAATCCCCCACTGAGTTTTACATAAAGGGTGTGACTTTTGTCAACACACCTACTCCACTGGTTTTGCTACAGTTGAGGCTCTTAGCTTGAGTCTAGGTGTGTTACACACAGATAGAAGAAAAAACTCATAAGAATACAACATTAAGAAATATGATGCATTTTACACCAAGCAGCCACCAGAAGGCAGCCTTACATGTTTTAAATACTTACAGTATATTTAGTTCTGCATTTATAAGCTCCTGCATGAAACTGTTCATATTTTAATATAAACTCATAGAAAAAAATAATAAACACATACTGAGTCATTTTAGGTAAAAAAATTAACTCAAGGTCCAACATTAGTCAAACAGTAGAAGGTGTACCTGTGACATTTTGGCTCCTTTTATTAAAGATATTTTCAAACTGAGAGGGCCAAACCTTGGTTTTTGAGCTGGTATTGACCTCAAACCCGCTAACATTTGGTACAAAACACTAAGTTTTATACGTCTCCTTTAAAAAAGGGGGTTTTGGCCAAATTTAATGCTGATTTTAGGTCCAGAAAGTTCACATCCTCACCACCAGCCCTCTGCTTTGTCAGTGCGTCTACCAGATGGGCATCATGTCAGGGAACCAGATGCGGCCCAGGTGCTTCGACACCTCGCTGTGGATCTGCTCCATGTTGAAGCTGTTGTCGGGGGTCAGCACCTCCTCCATGATGGACAGCTGCGTCAGCCTGCCCCCACACATCTTCACAAACTCCACAAACCCGCTGCAGGTCACCTCGCACTCGCCCAGCCCGATGGCCGTCAGGCTCTTGCAGCGCTCTCCAATGCGGATCAGCTCCTCGTCCAGGGGCTTCAGGCCATTGGCGCACACCACCAGCTCCACCAGACGGGGGCAGTTCAGTCCGATGCGGCCCAGCATCTCTTTGCTCACCGCCCGGCCAAAGTACAGGTGGGTGACGGGGGTCTCCTCGCAGAAGAATGGCTCGAACTCCTCCTCGTAGAGGAAAAAGTACATGACTATGTTGACCTTGGGCGAGTGTCGGACCAGAGCGTCCCAGCTGCTCCTCTTGATGGTGTGGAAGTGGGCCTGGCCCGGGTTTTCGCTGACCACGTCTATACGGAGATGTTCCAGGTGGACGTGTTTTTCAGAGGACAGAGCGAGCAGGAGCTCGTCGCTGAGGAGGTGATAGTTTAACGCCAGCTCTCTGAGGCCGTGGCACTGGTCCGCAACACACAGGATACCTGAAAAAGAAAGGAATGATTGAATGACTGTCCATGGAAAACAGAGGATCATGTTTATCCCCATATGTGTTTGATTCAAGATTCAAGATGGCCACCCTCAGCAAAAAATAAAATGTCTAACTCAGTCAAACTGACAGAGTTAGCTTGAGTTTGGTTCCTTAATCACTGTTGCTCATTTAAAAATAGTATTTTTTATAAAAAAATTGACCTGCTGGGGAAACGTGGGGACAGCTGCTCATCTTCAGCAACTTCAAGGTATCACTGTTGTTGGCCACCAACACTTTCAGGGAAGGATCATCCACCGGCGTGTCGTCTATCTTAATGGAAGACAGTGACTTGGAGTTCACGAACACGACTGTCAGTGCAGACACGAAGTGAGCCTGTAGTGGGGGGGACCAAGATATATTTTTTCTAAATCAAAGCTGTCATCTTTTAAAATACCTGATTGGTAATCAAATGCAACTTAATGTGCAAACAGCAACAATGTGTACCTGAGAAACATCCATGAAGCTGGGTCGAGCCGTAGAAATCAGCCCCAGCGTTTTGATGGTGCAGTTCACCAGCTGGGACAGAATATCACAGGCTGCCTCTGCTGACTCAGTACAGCTGTCCACCTGCAGACATTCACCGGTAAGGCAACACGTGAAAAATTCACAGATGAAAAACAAAAGCTGGAAACAGTGAGGCCTGACGTGTCATGATCAAACAGGCAGTTTTAGATTAAAGAGGAACAAGGTCCAGCAGAAGACTCCTGAACTTTTAGAATAGAATTTAAAATTGTACAAAAGTTCTCAAGAACTAAGCTCCAATTTACATTCAGGATTTTATTCAAGCCCATAACAGGGCAGATAAACCAGGCAATTGCCCAGGGACCTAAACTGACCTGTCCCATGACAACAACTGGTTATGTTTTAAATGTAAAGACAACCTGTGTGAACGTCCCTTGAAATTATTAGGGGTGTGAGTGTACAGTTTTTTATGTTGGATTTTAAAATTAATATGCAGCCTGCACTTTATTTGTTGTTTGTATAAAATGTGTGCTTTTTTTTACACAGGATGGTGTTTTTTTCTTTTTCAATTATTTACATTCAAACATTACTGTTAGCATTACTGTAGTGTACCCGACTGCAATTCCTAAAATGTTTACACTGTTTGTAAAGAGTATTTTTTGCATGTAAATGTAAACAAAATTTGCACCTTAAAAGTACTTTGGTTGACAAAGTGTGGGGTTCTTCATATTAAGCGGGTGGCTATTAAGGTTGGGGCTGGTGTGTGTGTGTGTGTGTGTGTGTGTGTGTGTGTGTGTGTGTGTG